TTTGCAGCGTATTGGTTTTCCTCCTGTTAGTAAATCAACTAATTCCCAGGTGTTGTTTTCTTCTCGTAAATTAATTTCTTCTAGAACAGTTATCAGCCACTCTCTTTTTCCGTTTTCTTCCAAAGTTTCAGTTTCCTCCCTGATTTTGGGTTCGGGGCAGATTAGATATTTTGCATCATATTTGTAGCAGTCAGAAGGTTTCTGTTCAGTGTTCTGAGTTTTAAAGATTGTTCATCAGATTCTGATATTTCTTCTTTTTCAGGAACTTCATTTTGTATTTTTTCTTGTTTTGAGCTTTCTTCTTTAGGATTCTCTTTATCTTGGTTGTGAGAGATACTTACTAGCTTATTAGCTCCAATGTCTTCAATAAATCAAACACGTCGACTTATTATTCTTTTGTTTCAAGGAATTAATATTATGTAACTTTTACTTCTGTTATCATAGTGGATGAGTATTCCTTCTATAGCAGTATCATCCAGTTTACCTTTCTTAGATTTATGGATGTAAGCAAAAGCCTTGCATCCAAATGTTCTCAGATAAGAGAGGTTGGGCTTTTTGTTAGTCCATAATTTGTATGTTGTTTTTGCATTGGCTCTTGTAGACATACAATTTTATAGATAATTTACAGTCAGCACTGCTTTTTCCCAGTATTTGTTAGGTTGACCTGTATCGACTAAAAGACATTTTTTCGTTTCTATTAAAGATCTGTTTTTGCGTTTGCTAACTCCATTTTGTGCTGGACAGTGCAGTACAGTTAACTGGTGAGTTATGCCATACCTTAGAAGATATTCTTCAAGTTGTTTAGTTGTGTATTCACCACCTTTATCACTTCTGAACGTTTTTATTTTTCTTCCGAATTTATTGTCTGTAAGAGCAATGAATTGTTTTAGTTTAGAAATTACTTTATTTTTTTTCCATAGGTAAATTATTGTAGTAAACCTACTGTAATCATCAGTAAAAGTTACGACGTATAGGTAACCATTGACTGATGGAGTTTTTCCTGGCCCTAAAACATCAGTGTGAATGAGTTCGAGTAGTGAGTTTGGATGCTCTAAATTTTTATTCTTTTGGATATGAAACATCAGTTAGTTTACATTTTATGTACTGAATGTGCTTGTTATGTTTACAATTATCCAGTCTGATTACTTCAGGGAGTTCTTTATTGAAAAGTTGTTTAACTCTTTCGCATCGAGAGAGGACAAAATCTCTTTTTTCCAAACATCGAAAACGCCAGTGTCTACAAATTTCTCCTGGAATGCTTTTCCTTCCCCTTATGACTAAGTGAATACTACAGCGCTAACAATAACCTACTTAAGAAAAGCGAGAACTTCTTTCTTGGATGCTTTCACCCTGTGTGAAGTTCCCCCTTGGGACAGGATTGCAACTTCGGCCATCAAAAGCTAAACATTGGCAGTAAACAAAGGAAAGAGAAGGTGCATTAAAATAACAGATCTACTTTTAGTCACTTCAAAAGAATGATTGACATGTCATTTAACAACACCTGAAAGCAATGAGAATTGCAGTAACGTGCTGGGGGAAAGCACTAAGTAGGAAATTATTCAGGCATTTGGGGCGTCCAACCGATGTCTGAATGCTTGGACGTTTGGAGCGACTTCGATGCGAAAGAGTTAATCACGTCATCATTTTTTTGACCACAGCGTCTACACCAAAGTTTAATACAACTTTAATTTTTGCTTTGAAATACTATGTGAAGTAATGGGTAATCATTCCTCTTGATTGATTTAATTTGGTAAAGGTTGTTAATTGCAGGACCTTCTAGAATAATTTGGTCTTTTTCCATGATCATGCATAAGTTTCTTTTAAACATAACTGAGATTCTCTTTTCTGTTATTTGCTTATAACGAATAGTTCCTTTACCTGTAGATTTAAGACTTTGCCCAATTGCAATTATGATATCTGAAGGATTTATACGAGGGCCATCCAGGAAGTAGATTACGTTTCCGTCTGTGTCCGCTAGGGGCGGGGCTAGCACGGCCATCTTGGGGTCAGAGCGTTGCGCAGCTCAGTCTGCATCTAGCCGTGCTAGTGAGAGGTTCGTGCTGTGCTCCGTTCAGATACTGTGATGGTTTGAAATGTCTGCGTTAATTGAAAATCCGAGGTGCGCTCAGTAATAAGGTTTCTGACTGCAAAAAACTGTAAACCGATAGAAATCTATCGGCAGCTTCGTGAAGTGTATGGGGACAACATTATCACTGAAGGTGGAGTGCGTCAGTGGGTCATAAGATTTCAAAATGGCCGAACCAATGTTCACGACGAAGATCGAAGTGGGAGACCCAGCATAGTGACCGCCGAACTTCTCGAAAAAGTCGATGCTAAAGTCCGTGAAAATCGAAATTTCACAATAACGGAACTTTCTTTGAGTTTTCCACAAATTTCGCGAAGTTTGTTGCACGAAATCATCAGCGAAAAGCTTGGTTACCACAAGTTTTGTGCAAGATGGATTCCAAAAATCTTGACAGAGGACCACAAAAATCAGCGAATGGCTGCAGCGTTGAACTTTTTGGACGCTTACCATAAGGATGGTGACTCTTTACTCGATCGCATCGTTACTGGTGACGAAACATGGGTGAAACATGTGAACTGTGAAACGAAATTGCAATCAATGCAGTGGGGGGCACACAAGTTCTCCCCAAAAACCCAAGAAATGCATGCAAATAATGTCGGCAAGGAAGATGATGGCGACTGTTTTTTGGGACAGAAAAGGTGTAATTTTGGTGGACTTCCTGGAAAGAGGCACTACAATAAACTCTCAAAGGTATTGCCAAACTCTCCAAAAACTCAGAAGAGCAATTCAAAACAAGCGCAGAGGAATGTTGAGCTCTAAGATCTTGTTGATTCACGACAACGCCCGGCCCCACACGGCAAATGTCACTCGTAAAGTTCTTGAATCTTTTAAGTGGGAGTTGTTTCCTCATCCGCCGTACAGTCCCGACCTGGCACCGAGCGACTTCCACCTATTCCCAGCAATGAAGAAGTGGCTGGCTATGCAGCGTTTTGATGACGACGCACAGCTGCAAGAAGAGGTAACGAAGTGGTTGAAGGCGCAGGCGGCCAAATTTTTCGACGAAGGAATTTCCAAGCTCGTACATCGCTACGATAAATGCCTTAATTTGTATGGTGACTATGTAGAAAAGTAGTATTGAGTGTGGCTTTCATCTGTATATAATAAAATTTGTTTCCTATACTTTGTTTATTTTTTTATTCCAAAACGTAATCTACTTTCTGGATAGCCCTCGTAGATTCAAGTTCTATTAAATATTTCTTGTTATTCACAAAGTAATTTCTTGGCCCACTATCAAAAATAAAACTTTCTGCTCACTGAAGTATGATATTGTTAAGAAACAGAGCTGTGACATCACTTCTGGAATAGGATTTACCGTGCTTTAATTTTTGTTTCTTCTTGATCCATTGTTAAGTTACAGACATTTTTTGCTTGGTAATTTTTTTAATTCACATGTGTTTTCTTGGAGTGTTTGTGCATTCACTCTTTTGTCTTGATTTTAGATAAAAGCTTTCTGATCTAAAATGCTTACTTTTTTGTGACAGGATAAGGAAAATTTTTCTTTGTTTGTTTTATTTTGAAGCAAGGCCTTAAATGCCTTTGAATCTGATAAATTATTTTCAACTCTCTTATTGAATTCATTGATTAATTTCTCGTTTATGAACTCTGGGATTAATTCTGTTTCTGATCTTGCTTCAAGAGTGGTTATCAGCATATCTGATGAATTAGGCCTTGAACAAATCAAAGTATTGAAATATGATCTTCTTTTATGTTCTCATGTATTGCTTTAAGCTTATCGACTAACTTTTCTTCGGGCTTCAAACTGTAAAGTTTTTGTAAAAGAAATAGTTTACTTGATTGGTTACCTGCATAAGTACTTTCGTGTACCTGCATAAGTTTTTCCCAGGTGGGTTTAGTAGTAGTTTCACATTTAATATGAATTATCTGGCTGTTCTCAATTTGAGATACATCTTCAATTATACATAAAGATCCTCCTTTATTAGAAACATTTGCATTTTGATCTTTCATGCGGAATAGTTAAAGTTTTAACATTTGCATTTGATTCAAATGCAATATCTTTTGTATTGCTGAAAATGTAATTTTTGGTTTAGATCTGAAACTACAGCCTTAAAAAAAAAAAAAAAAAAAACTATGATTTTTTATTCAGTTTCGTAATCTTTTGTTCTAAATATTTCTACAAGAAATTAATAAAGTAAGGAAAGAATTTTTCTTAGCTTGTTTTCTCAATAGTGCCGAACATCATCATAGTCTGACGTAATCCAAAAGGAGATTGTGCATGAAAAGTTAAATGAAATATATTTATTTAACACATTAACACATGTTTAACACAGAATAAGAATAATTGAATTTTTCACAATATATAGAGTGTTTAATAGAGAGTTATTATGAGAGAATTAATTTAACACTGCCCTTTCACATCAGTGTGAAGGAGTGAGGTATGAGTCACACAGTTCCTTTATTACAGCACATCTAGAATAGAACATTTATTTCCCTATTGGTGGTTTATAATGTCCATCACTGTATACTAACACTGTATACTATATGTGCATATATGTATACACACATACATGTGTGTTACATATGTACATGAACACATGCAATAAAAAATTGCAAAAGCTGAATTAAATTTTTTAAAACCATTCTTCTAACATTTTATTTTCCTCCGCTTTATAATTTTGAAATAGGTATGTTTAAATATTTTTAATGTGATTAAGTAAAATGATTATGTGACATACATCAATAGAAGTTCTCTATTCTTTTGGGGGAAAATGTCTCAATAGTAAAAAAAGTGTATTCAGTTACAGTTAGGCTAAAACTTTTACAGCTTAGAAAAATTATTGCTGCATGTTGTAAATAGCAAGTACTTTTTATCTGGTTCACTTTTAATTGTCTGTGTTAAAACTCATATATATTCATTGTGATATTAAAATGTATTTGTTTCCTTTATTTTTTTTAGGCTATAAGCTGTTATGAGCAGGCTGCAGATTATTATAGAGGTGAAGAATCAAATAGGTAATGCATTATCTTTCTCTGCATTAAGTACATAACAGAGTGCAAAATTCATAAATACTGGAATTTTGTTATGTTGTTTCAGTATTGCATCATGTTGTGTAGAATTTTACTTCAGCTATTCAGCTAAAGCTCTGTTTTTATTGATGATAAAATCTGCATCATGATGATAAGTACTAATGTAATTAAGTCCTGATGTGGGCATTATTTTTGTAACCACTGTTCATAGACATATACTTCCAGAAAAATGTTTTAAATGATGCAGATATTCAGATTTTGACATTTTTAAATTTATAAAATCATTTTTGAAAAATTATGAAATATAACTTTTTTTATAATCTTTGAGACCACGTGTTTCCCAGTATTAATTTACGTGTATATATTATAGAGTAACTTGAGAAGAATACATGAAATTTTCTAATTTAAAAATTAAATTAAAAAAAAACAAATACTCAGAAAAAATACTTTTTTTGCATGTGGGGCCTGTTTTTTTGTAATGGTACTAATGACAGTATATTAATGGTTGTAAATTTGATAATAATGTACGATGTTCTGTTATCAGGTCCGGATTCAGAAATGTATGTGTGTATGAATGGATGTATGTGTATATGTAAACACGTATATATGTAAACACAAATGTGTGTGTGTGTATACACATATATGCATACACACACGCATACATTCATACATTTCTGAATCTGGTGCCTATAACAAAGCAGTACCGATATATCACATAATATATTAAATGTTGATTTTTTTAAAAAATAAAATTATTATCCCACATTATAATGCAAGGGTATATGTAAGTATCTCTTGTCAAGTATGTAAATTAAATATAAATTTTCATAAATACTTTGAATTAATTTAAAGTTTCCTGTGGAGGTATTTGAAAAAAATTTTAATTTCTCTTTTTTTCTTAAATCCAGAGAACTGAAAAATATTGAATGATTCAAATACTGCATGTAGAACCGTTAGCATGGGTACATATTAAATTATGTTAAATTCTCTTGTAATTTCACAGAGCTATGAATTATATCTAATGCCATAATTGATTTTAAATTTTCATATGAGCCTTCAGAATTAGAAACGTGATTTTTTTCAATTGTGTCATGGTGTTGGTCGATTACTATGATTATATTGTACGAGCCGTATATCATTTTTGGAGCTTTTGCTTTTAAATATTTCTGTAGTGTACATGTTTGGGCTTTTTTTAATTAGAGATCAGTAGTCTACATCTTTGAGCTACTGCATAATCTCTAGGCCAGTGCTTCTTAAACTTTTTTTCAGTCGTGACCCCCTTTTATCATCGGGATTGTTTTCTTGACCCTAGGACCCCCCTTAATATTTTCAAAAATTTTGTGGGACCCCATAAGCATTGCGCAAATCCAACACATGCATGAGTGAAACTGTCAATTGTTTCACTTGTACTGTAATATACTATTGCAATTTTAGGTCATTAACTTTAATTTCTAATTTTAAGACATAGAACAATGTGAAAATTTTAAATAAGTAACAGACGAAATAACAGCATAATGTGCAAAGCAAGTAAAATGAACATTTATATTTGCTGACCCCCCTGCTGCACGTCCCGTAACCTCCAAGGGAGTCGCGACCCACAATTTAAGAAACTCTTCTAGGCTATGAAAATTTAATGAAGCTTCAGTGCATCTGCTTGAATTGTAAGTTGTTAAAGTTTTTTTGTTTGTTTTTTGATGATAGTTTTCCTTATATTGCAGTTCTGCCAATAAGTGCCTTTTGAATGTTGCAAAATACTGTGCTCAACTTGAGCAGTATGAAAAAGCAATTGAAATATATGAACAGGTATGATATTTGAATATTACAAACTGTCTTATCTTTTTTTGAAAAAAAGATTATAGTTTCTATGTTCTTATTTAACTAATTAGAATTTATTACATATTACATTGTTTGAAATGTACTGTTTGATCATAAATATACACTGCTCGACATTAAAAATGCAACACCAAGAAGGAGTGGTCAGAAAGTGATGAAATTTGAGAAAAAGACAGAGACTGCAAGCAGCAATAAGTGATCTTTATTTCAAAATGATAGTCAGAATACAATGCGAGAACAGCGTCAGCTCAGTAGGATGTAGGACCACCGCAGATAACGATGCTCAAAGAAACACGTTTAGGCATAGAGTGAATAATTGTGCATTTGCTCTCCTGTGGGATGGCTCTCCATTCCCTTTCAACCATTTACCACAGTTCGTCTTCTGAACGAGGCAGGGGCAGAGTCTGCAAACAGTGTCCAATCACATCCCACACATGTTCGATTGGTGACAGGTCAGGAGAGTGGCCAGGGAAGCATCTGTATACCTTGCAGAGCATGTTGGCAGATGCGAGCACTGTGTGGTTGGGCATTATCGTGCTGAAAAATTGCATTAGGCAGCCCCTAAAGGTAGGGGATTGCCACCGGCAGCAGTACATTATCCAAGTATTGTTGGGCCGTCGTAGTGCCCTGAATACGAACTAGAGGTGACCTGGAATCGTAGGCAAATGCGCCCAAAACCATTATGCCACGTTGTCGCGCAGTGGGACGTTCCACAGTTACTACCGGATTAGATCTTTTTCCACGTATGTGGCGACTGTCACTGGATAAACAGAAGCGTGACTCATCTGAGAAGATGACGTTTCGCCATTCTGTCATCCACATCGCTCCAGTCCGGCACCATTCTAAATGTTGGGGTCTATGCTGTGTGGTCAATGGCAGTCGTCTTAATGGATGCCGTGAGTGCAGGCCACGTCCAACCAATCGACAGGAAATGGTTCTGGTTGACACGGGAACATTCAGGGTATCTTGCACATGCTGCGGAATCGTGGTACAAGTGACTTGCAGGACCGCCACAGCTTGTCACCGGATGCGTCGATCCACGTGTGCTGACGTCACTCTGGCTGCACCTGCACCCTTCCTTCTTCCCACATTTCATTGTTCCAACCATGTTGGCCATAGCCAATGCACTGTGCTCGCATCCATGTGGGTATCGGCTGCGATTTGACATAAGTACCAACCCGCCCTTCTTGGTCCAATCACCATACCTCTCGTAAAATCGTCTATCTGCTAGAAGTGCCTTCGTTGACGGCTGCCTGGCATTCTCGCCTGTTACACGTATCCTCCGGGACAAAAACCAACTTCCTTCGATAATTCTTCTGGCAGAGATAAAAAGACAAATATTGCCAATCCTAATAGAACTGGCTGTACCCTTCTTAATAAAATTATTGAAAATATTGCAGATGGTAGCACAAATTTATTCTGATATTTTGAAAGATTACCAAACAAATAGACTAGAAAAAGAAGGATTCCTGTATGCTAAAGTTTTTCATAAATACAATTTTATTCATCCTGATACAGAAGTTCATACACAAACAGTTGAGAGAATGTGGGGCAGTGCTAAATGGAGGAAGAAGAGACATAGGGGGACAGCAAGGCATCAGTTAGAATCTTATTTAGCAGAGTTCATATGGCGACAGCATCAGGTCAAAGAAAATAGGGACTGTTTTTAATCTATGTTAAACTCTATATATGCACATTCCTTCCCTTATATCTTACTTCACTTGCATCAGAGAGCTGCACATTTCATATCATTTGCATAACTCAGTGACGTGCATCTACTCTAAAATTTGCATAAATTTCTGACCACTCCTTCTTGGTGTTGCATTTTCAATGTCGAGCTGTGTATATGTTATGAAATAATTGCAAATTTATTGTGAATGAATCTATGTTTTGCTTAAAAATAAAATTTTGAAACTATATTAATTTCCAATATTTTTATTTACTATGTTTAAAAAAATTAAAATTAGGAAGGAATATTAAGTATGTTTATTTTTATCAATGTGTATTGAATGTTTAATTACAGTGTGGCATAAAAGTATATTGTAAAAAATAAGCAGAAAAACAAAAATGCATAGCAAGCTATCAGAACCCTTAGTTTTTGAGATTCAGTGGGTTGAAATGCATTACCGTATAAGGGCAAATATTGTTATTTTAGTACAATATTTATTTTACTTTTACCTCTTCACTCCTGGCATCGGGGAAAATAAAAGTGCTGTGTGCATTCATTATTCTGAAGTGTTCAATTCCACTGTGTTCCTGAGTGCATTGTGCAGTTAACAATAGTAGATTACCATAGTTGCATTGCATGAGCCGTGTATCATCTTTAAAACTGCTCTTAAATATTTCACCTTAGTAAATATTTAAGCTATTTTAATTAGAGATTATTAGGCTACATCTTTGAGCTATTTTAATCAAAAATTGAAATCTAATTCAAAAATAATTTCTATAAAATTGTTTTGGTACTCTTTTGTTGTCGTCACTGGAATTACGTATTAACACCACCACAGCAGAAGTTGCGCTGATGCGCCAATAAAGAGCAATTGAAGAAAGTTTGTTTACTTAAGCATAAAAATAATTGAGGTCGAGTATTACTTAAACAGTGGGTGTTTGGTGGTATATGTAGGGAAACAAAAGATTCGTTTGTTGTCACTGTTCCTAATAGAACTGGCTGTACCCTTCTTAATAAAATTATTGAAAATATTGCAGATGGTAGCACAAATTTATTCTGATATTTTGAAAGATTACCAAACAAATAGACTAGAAAAAGAAGGATTCCTGTATGCTAAAGTTTTTTCATAAATACAATTTTATTCATCCTGATACAGAAGTTCATACACAAACAGTTGAGAGAATGTGGGGCAGTGCTAAATGGAGGAAGAAGAGACATAGGGGGACAGCAAGGCATCAGTTAGAATCTTATTTAGCAGAGTTCATATGGCGACAGCATCAGGTCAAAGAAAATAGGGACTGTTTTTAATCTATGTTAAACTCTATATAGGCACATTTTTCAACGAAATCCGATTGACTACTTTGATTTTGAATAAAGTGTTTTAATTTATGATTTATCGCAAAAAATTTAGGTGTAGATTGGCGGCATTTAAAAATCGCCATATCTGCAGCTGCTGTTAATACACAAGTACCTCTTTCTGTATCTGGTCCTGATAACAGAAGAGTACTGTCAGTTTTTTATAAAAGAATTTGGATTCTTGCATATGTTATTTAAATGATATTTCTTATAATATGAACAATAAATCCTAATACTTGCAATAAAAATAAAAATTCAAAGTAAGTTAATGTGTAGTAGTAGTAGTAATCATTGTATTTATGTATTTAAATTAAATCTGTACAATAATGAAGTTAAAAACTTAAGAATTTAAGTATTAATGCCTTATTATACCCTATTGCCATATTTAAATACAAAATTTTAGGCCACTTATTCTGTATAAAATGTTTCTAAGTTATGAACATATGATGTAAGCATTGTACATCATAAATTACATCCATAGAATAAAAAAAGTTAAGTGCATAGAATAAAAAGAGTTAAATAATTAAGTGCGAGTCTTGCCATAACGGCAAGACTCGCACTTAAACAGTTTCAGTTAAGGTTTTGCAATATTCTGCATAATTTATGTATACATTGTAGCGTGCATATGGCAGGGTTGCCACGCTACCTGGAAAACCGGGAGAACCGGGAAAAGTCAGGGAATTCGAAAATTGACCAAAATATTCAGGGAAAAGTCAGGGAATTTAAGTATTTTTGTCAAATCTGGAAAGTCAGGGAAGTTCATACAACGATCCGCCAAAAAAGATTTTTCGCAGACGTCGAAGAGATAACTTTTTGGCGAATATGTATCACGTGAGTGTCTCGGGTAGCTGGCATAGAGCATTCGCAGCTCCAATTTGATTGGCCCTCAGGGCTCACTTTTGTGTACGGGTGTGGCAATCCCGAGGTACCCTAGCCCTTCAGGGGATCATCTTCTTGGATGAGACGGGTGTCACGATCCTGGAGCCCCAGTGATCTATCCTCTTTTCCGTCTCCTCTCCTCTTGGCTGGAATCTTTTTCCCTTCCCTTCTCCCTTGTGGTTTCTCTCTACGGAGTTTGGGGCTTGTCACGAGAGGCTGGAACAGACCTTGTCTCTAGTTCTCGAGTGGCGAGAAAACTGCCCACGTGTTTTGCCGTGCGTGGAGACCCGTGTCGCTGGAAAGGAGGGTCCTGGTAGTTGAGGGGCGAGGTACTGTCCCCAACACACTGCTTTGGCCTCTGCTTCAGCTAAACGGGAGGCACCTTAGTCGTCCTCACGGGTGTCAATCGGCTGGTCACTAGTCCTTGTGTCAGTGGCTTGGGGTCAAGCTCTCGGGAGTACCTGCTTTCGGGAAAGCCGACTGTGGGGCTTCAGTTTGCGTATAGGTCCGGCTAGCCCTAACACAGGAATCTGTGTTCCCTTGTTGGGCTCCGTGGTGGGCGGGGCCGTCGGACCCGAATCTTTTCTTATTTCAATATGGCTAATTCTCAAATTTTTCTGATCAAAGACTTCGAAGTCACTCCAGTCTCTCAACCTAGTTCTGAAACGTCCACTACTAAACCAGTCACTCAACCTAGCTCTGAACCACCTACTAATAAACCAATCATTCAACCTAGTTCTGAAAAGTCTACTACTAAAACCAGTCACTCAATCTAGTTCTGAAAATTACTGCAAAAAAATTACGGACAGATGCAAATAAAAAAATCATAACAATAGTCCCCGTTTCCTAGTCATCTCTAGTCCTTCTGGCGAAATGCATAAGATGTCTCCTTTTGTAATAAACAAATACATCCAGTCTTGTATTGGTGAGCCGAGAAATATAAAGCGTCTCCGATCCGGAGACTTGCTTATTGATACAACCTCAGCCACCCAGTCTGCTTCTTTACTTCAAATAACTAAACTCGGGCAAGCGAATGTCACTGTAACAGCACATAAGACACTGAATTATTGTC